CCACACCTTTTCCTAATTTCCACACTCCGAATTTTCTGCATAATATTTACACCACACATTGCCTTTAAACAGGACATCTCCACTGCCTCCAACCGTCTCCTCGCTGCTGCATTTACCACCCAAGCTTCACACCCATATAAGAGTGTTGGTACTACTATACTTTCATACATTCCCTTCTTTGCCTCCATAGATAACGTTTTTTGACTCCACATATACCTCAACACACCACTCACCATTTTTCCCTCATCAATTCTATGATTAACCTCATCCTTCATAAATCCATCCACTGACACGTCAACTCCCAAGTATCTGAAAACATTCACTTCTTCCATACTCCTCCTCCCCAATTTGATATCCAATTTTTCTTTATCTAAATCATTTGACACCCTCATCACCTTACTCTTTTCTATGTTCACTTTCAACTTTCTACCTTTACACACATTCTCAAACTCATCCACTAACCTTTGCAATTTTTCTTTAGAATCTCCCATAAGCACAGTATCATCAGCAAAAAGTAACTGTGTCAATTCCCATTTTGAATTTGATTCCCCAAAATTTAATCCCACCCCTCTCCCGAACACCCTAGCATTTACTTCCTTTACAACCCCATCTATAAATATATTAAACAACCATGGTGACATAACACATCCCTGTCTAAGACCTACTTTTACCAGGAAGTAGTCTCCCTCTCTTCTACACACCCTAACCTGAGCCTCACTATCCTCATAAAAACTCTTTACAGCATTTAATAACTTACCACCTATTCCATATACAGTGGACCCCCGCATAACGATATTAATCCGTTCATGAGAGCTCATTGTTATGCGAAATTATCGTTATGTGAATGAATTTTCCCCATAAGAAATAATGGAAATCAAATTAATCCATGCAAGACACCCAAAAGTATGAAAAAAAAAATTTTTATCACATGAAATATACATTTTCCTACACACAAAGAGAAGGATACATGCACAATAGTAGAGTAGTACATGCACAGTATATATTGTGCATGTACTACTCTACTAAATGAAGAATAAATGACACCTTTATTGAAGATGCAGCAATGACTGATGAGACACTGTGTCCTGGGAGTGCCTTTTCCTCCTGAGTACTGTAGGTCCTGTTTGGCATTTTCTTCCAGAACAGGCCTTATCACACTGTGTATGCCACTACGATTCTTAAATCTCTCAAACCAACCTTTGCTGGCTTTAAATTCACCAATATGAGCACTAGTTTTCCAGGCGTTTTTCCCTGTTCACCTGGGTGTTAGTCGACTGGTGTGGGTTGCATCCTGGGAGACAAGATTAAGGACCCCAATGGAAATAAGTTAGACAGTCTTCGATGACAATGACTTTTTGGGTTATCCTGGGTGGCTAACCCTCTGGGGTTAATTGTTTCTTGGTACTCACAATAAGCCACACCAACAACGGTGCTACAGCAGCAGCAGCAGCAGCAGCTGACAGTGCTACAGCAGCAGCAGCAGCAGCAGCTGACAGTGCTACAGCAGCAGCAGCAGCTGACAGTGCAGCAGCAGCAGCAGCAGCAGACGGTACTACAGCAGCAGCAGCAGCTGACGGTGGTACAGCAGCAGCAGCAGCTGACAGTGGTACAGCAGCAGCAGCAGCTGATGGTGCTACAGCAGCAGCAGCAGCTGACGGTGCTACAGCAGCAGCAGCAGCAGCTGACAGTGCAGCAGCAGCAGCAGCAGCTGACGGTGGTACAGCAGCAGCAGCAGCAGCTGACAGTGCTACAGCAGCAGCAGCAGTTGACCATGGTACCACAGTATTTCGATAATATTTCTCACCCTTTTTATCACAGGGTTGGCACTAGAAGCTTTCTTGGGGCCCATGGTCACTTATTTTGCAGATAAAATCAACAAAAACACTGTAATAATACGAAATGTTACGATTGCATGCTTGGATGTTACCGCGGAGGCTGGCTTGTAAACAATGCCACTGGCGGAACATGTGAGGCTGGCTCAGGCCGCACATTAGACGCGCCTCGGACGAATAGTGTTGAGCGGGTTTTTTAGCGGTATGTGAGGCAAAATCTTAGCGATAAAATGTATCGGTATGCGGATTTAACGTTATGTGATGCCAACGGTATGCGGGGGTCCACTGTACTTGCAACATCTGCCACATTGCTCCTCTATCCACTCTATCATATGCCTTTTCTAAATCCATAAATGCAATAAAAACTTCCCTACCTTTATCTAAATACTGTTCACATATATGCTTCAATGTAAACACTTGATCTACACATCCCCTACCCACTCTGAAACCTCCTTGCTCATCCGCAATCCTACATTCTGTCTTACCTCTAATTCTTTCAATTATAACCCTACCATACACTTTTCCTGGTATACTCAGTAAACTTATTCCTCTATAATTTTTACAGTCTCTTTTGTCCCCTTTCCCTTTATATAAAGGGACTATACATGCTCTCCGCCAATCCCTAGGTACCTTCCCCTCTTTCATACATTTATTAAACAAAAGTACCAACCACTCCAACACTATATCCCCCGTGCTTTTAACATTTCTGTCATGATCCCATCAGTTCCAGCTGCTTTACCCCCTTTCATTCTACGTAATGCCTCACACACCTCCCCCATACTCACATCCTGTTCTTCTTCACTCCTAAAAGATGGTATACCTACCTGACCAGTGCATGAAATTACTGCCTCTCTTTCTTCCTTAACATTTAAAAGTTCCTCAAAATATTCTCGCCATCTACCTAATACCTCCATCTCCCCTTCTACTAACTCCCCTACTCTGTTTTTAACTGACAAATCCATACTTTCCCTAGACTTTCTTAACTTGTTTAACTCACTCCAAAATTTTTTCTTATTTTCATTAAAATTTCTTGACAGTGCCTCTCCCACTCTATCATCTACTCTCCTTTTGCACTCTCTCACCACTCTCTTTACCTTTCTTTTACTCTCCATATACTCTGCTCTTCTTATAACACTTCTGCTTTGTAAAAACCTCTCATAAGCTACCTTTTTCTCTTTTATCACACCCTTTACTTCATCATTCCACCAATCACTCCTCTTTCCTCCTGCCTCCACCCTCCTATAACCACAAACTTCTGCCCCACATTCTAATACTGCTTTTTTTAAAACTATTCCAACCCTCTTCAACCCCCCCACTACTCATCTTTGCACTAGCCTACCTTTCTGCCAATAGTCTCTTATATCTCACCCGAACTTCCTCCTCCCTTAGTTTATACACTTTCACCTCCCTCTTACTTGTTGTTGCCACCTTCCTCTTTTCCCATCTACCTCTTACTCTAACTGTAGCTACAACTAAATAATGATCCGATATATCAGTTGCCCCTCTATAAACATGTACATCCTGGAGCCTACCCATCAACCTTTTATCCACCAATACATAATCTAATAAACTACTTTCATTACGTGCTACATCATACCTTGTATATTTATTTATCCTCTTTTTCATAAAATATGTATTACTTATTACCAAATCTCTTTCTACACATAGCTCAATTAAAGGCTCCCCATTTACATTTACCCCTGGCACCCTAAATTTACCTACTACTCCCTCCATAACATTTTTACCCACTTTAGCATTGAAATCCCCAACCACCATTACTCTTACACTTGATTCAAAACTCCCCACGCATTCACTCAACATTTCCCAAAATCTCTCTCTCTCCTCTACACTTCTCTCTTCTCCAGGTGCATACACGCTTATTATAACCCACTTTTCACATCCAATCTTTATTTTACTCCACATAATCCTTGAATTAATACATTTATAGTCCCTCTTTTCCTGCCATAGCTTATCCTTCAACATTATTGCTACTCCTTCTTTAGCTCTAACTCTATTTGAAACCCCTGACCTAATCCCATTTATTCCTCTCCACTGAAACTCTCCCACCCCCTTCAGCTTTGTTTCACTTAAAGCCAGGACATCCAGCTTCTTCTCATTCATAACATCCACAATCATCTCTTTCTTATCATCTGCACAACATCCACGCACATTCAGACTTCCCACTTTGACAATTTTCTTCTTCTTATTCTTTTTAGTAATCTTTACAAGAAAAGGGGTTACTAGCCCATTGTTCCCGGCATTTTAGTTGACTTTTACAACACGCATAGCTTACGGAGGAAAGATTCTTATTCCACTTCCCCATGGATATAAAAGGAAAAGTAATAAGACCAAGAACTATTAAGATAAAATCAAAGAAAACTCAGATGAGTGTGTATAAATAAATGTGTACATGTATGTGTAGTGTGACCTAAGTGTAAGTAGAAGTAGCAAGACATACCTGTAATCTTGCATATTTATGAGACAGACAAAAGACATCAGCAATCCTACCATCATGTAAAACAATCACAGGCTTTCGTTTTACACTCACTTGGCAGGACGGTAGTACCTCCCTGGGTGGTTGCTGTCTACCAACCTACTTATTCATAGGTTTTTTACTGCCTTTTTTTTTTTACTAGCATTTTTACAATTCTTTATTTTTCTATGTGCCAGCCCCCTACTTCAATAATCAAGTCATAATGGAAGTCTCTCTCTCAATAACTTAAATAACAACCAACTCTAATTAAAGGCCATTTCAAGCATGTTATTAGGTATTCTCGGTTACTTCAGCTCTCAACAAAACAAGCTCTAGTGGTAATCTGTGAATGAAAATATTAAATTTTTGAAGTCATACACAGATTCTTTGTTAGATGTATGTTTGATACTAGATCACCTACTTATGTTTTTGAAGACATGTAAACTGTTAGTGATATACCTTTGATGAATTCTGAGAGTTTTTCTACTCCCAGAGCCTGGATGAAGTAACAGCAAGATCTTAAGGAACTGTTCTGCTCTAAATGACATTCATGACTTAGATGTTTGCAACATCAGATAAGTAAAAGAATTCTGCTTTCAATTACTGAAATGTCATACATAAACACATAGAAGTTTTGGGGATAATCACATGAATTCTTAAAGAAAATATAGTATGTACTGGTTAAGACTGCATACCTCTTAATCTCAATTTCAAGGGTCTCTGGCAAAATTCTAATAAAACCAGCACACTGCTCAAAAGTCCGTGGTCCAATACCCTTCACAGACTTCAGCTGTTCCCGGTTGATGAATGGACCTTTGGTTTTCCTATATTCTATAATGTTTGCAGCTCTAGCTTTATTCAAACCTGAGAGTTTCCTGAAAGATCGAAAAGAAACATAAATTAGATATTTAAAAGTAAAATATAATGCAGTAATCCACAAATAATGGCTAAGTTTAAGCACAGTATAACCATGTACATCAAAAGCTGGAACTTCTGACAAAGATTATTTTAACACTAACACCACCATTATTACACATACCTCAAGACAAATTCTGATGCTGAATTAATATCAACCCCCACAAAGGACACACATTCTGTCATGACAGAGTCTAAGGAGGCATGTAGGATACGCTCAGGAATGTCATGCTGGTACATGCCAACCCCCATATGCATGGGATGGACCTTAATGTACTCTAAGAGAGGATCCTGTAATCGTCGTGCCAACGACACTGATGTAGAGAGAGAAGATAGGTTCAGTGTTTACATAATACATGTATTAAGTTAAACTAATGTACGTATGATAATTACTAGGGTGCAAGTACTATCCTCTACATTTATACAGATAATCCTACTAATTAGAAAGTAAAGAAACTCCTGATGGGACTTGATACATCAAAGACATCTCAATTTATCACCATAGATACTAAGAGAAGCTGAAATATTATGAAAGTCACTTGCACAGATCTTCAAATATTCATTAACACTTTCAGGGTTTCGGACGTACTAGTACGGCTTATGCACCAGGATTTTTGACGTACTAGTACGCCTAAATTCTAGCGCCCTCAAATCTAGTGAGAGAAAGCTGGTAGGCCTACATATGAAAGAATGGGTCTATGTGGTCAATGTGCACAGTATAAAAAAAATACTGCAGCACACAGTGAGTACTGAGAAAAAAAAAAACTTTGACCGTGTTTTTGGATTAAAACAGCGACTTTGCACTGTATTTTCATATGGTATTTATTGTTGTATTCTAGTTTTCCTGGTCTCATTTTATAGAATGGAAGACATATTACAGAAATTGAGATGATTTTGACTGGTTTTACAATGAAAAGTACCTTGAAATTGAGCTCAAAGTAGCAGAAATGTTCGACTTTTACTACCTTGAAATTGAGCTCAAAGTAGCAGAAATGTTCGATTTTTACCAAAGTTCGAAAGCAAACAAATCATACTAAGCGTTCAATACACGTCAACTGGTGAGTCTAATATTCTTTCACAAGTGCGCCAATATTATTTATACCATTTCTACACTAATGCAGTACTCTGCATAACAGTAAATCTATTTTTTGTGAGAATAAGTATTCAAAGTGGAAAGTAAAAGAATGTAAGAGGGGCGTGGGGATGTGACTAGTGAACAGAGGAAATGTTATTTTAGCGCCAGGAATGTCTTTCTTCTTTATTCTGGACCCTATTTGGAAATTGGCATCTTTTGAAAATTGTGTGAAATTGGCAAAATTGCTAAATTCTGACCACTGTATTGGATATTTGAAATTGGAAAATGGGTGGTTTCTTGTACTCATTCGATAGAAACAAAAATGGAGTTCTAGCGAAATAGTCATGATTTTTGTCGACTAGTATACTGGAATTGACCAAAAATAGGGCTCAAAGTGGGCAAAATCGCCGATGCGTAAACATCGTCGAGACATCTAACTTCGCGAGAGCATAATTCCATAAGTTTTCCATCAAATTTCATATTTTTGGTGTCATTATGACGGGGAAAAGATTCTCTATCTTTTCACAAGAAAAAACAATTTTTTTTTTTTTAAATTTGGGCGACCCTGAGAACAAGTCTTGGAGAAGTCCTGGCGACCCTGAGAACAAGTCTTGGAGAGGGCCTGGCGACCCTGAAAGGGTTAATAATGACTGAAGTACTAGATAATGGAGAGTTAGAAAACATGACTGATACTTCCCTCAAAATATAAATTAAAAGTCAGTAATCTGATAGTGGCTACATGCACCTGATATGCCAAAGTTCAAATGCTGAAGTGTCACTCCTGTTTGTGCTACCTCAAACAGCACTGTATTATGGGAATGCCCTAGCAAGCAATAAAGTTTCTAAGGTTTTTGTAAAGGATAACTAATATTATATTCATGTGGAAGTGCTAAGCACATATGAATCAAACAGAACCTGGCAAAATGGGATTTAATCAGGTTTCATCATAAGAAAGGAAAGGCAGTGCAAATTCTTTCAATTAAGAGTCTTTCATCAGCATCGAGGCACCACCTTTAAGGGTTTCTTGAAGGATGCCTTATAGAATGTGTAAACTGCAATTAAAGACAGGATGCCTGAGTTATGGACACTTTAAAAGGCTGGTTATCTCATCATGAACTCTAAAGGTAGGAAGAACAATGCCACAATTTAAAAAGTCGGGTGGAGCTGTTGTAATTTGGCAGGTCAACACTGGCCCATGGTATCTGTGGCATCATGGAAAGGCAAACAGATTACAAGTGATGGTGAATGCTGTTTTCTGATTTGGTATCACCTGCCTCAGTGAGAAATAGCCAATGTAATAAAAAAAACATTTGTGACTCAAACTTACAAGCACTGATGAGGTTTGGATCAAGACCAGGAAATTCTGATCTAGCTTCAGGAGAGCAGGAGTACTGTGATGCACCAGTTTCATTAATAATAGTGTATTGAACATTGTAGGGATCAAAGCACTTTTGGGCTATTAATCTAGTTAAGTAAGTCTCCGTCTCCCTGCAACCCGTTCCATTACCCACAGCAAACAACTCACACCTAAAATAGAGTCAAAGAAACACTTTAAGAAAAATATTAATTAAGAAGCATTAAATAAAAACTTATGAAGAATTTCAATATAGGCAAGTAAACACACCAGTCCATAGGAGTTCGACAAAGTAAGTACAGCCCCTCCTCACTTAGTGACATACTCATTTACTGATGCCTCGGACTTACAACAGGCTACTTTCCTCTTTTCTGTTTATTTCAATATACAGTACACTACTATAAAAACATTTAAAAATATACTAGAAATGTTATAAATGATGCAAAGACGACATTAAAATAACATCAAAGATGGCTGACACAAACCCACTACCATTATCGTATGCTCCTCACTTAGCAATGAATTCGTTTAACGCTGTGGTCTTAGGAATGGAATTCCATCGTTAAGTGAGGAGAGGCTGTACTGTATTAACCCCTAAACTGTGGCATACCCAGAAAAAAAAATTTCCTGTGATGTGAAATTTAAGAAAGAAAAAAAAAACCCTAAGAGTTTGAAAGTTTATTTTTCTATGGAGAATATAAAAAATGAAATTGCATTATAACTTATGATTTCATGGGGTGCTAAAATTGGTACAACAATATCACTACTCAACAACAGTGGCCTGAATTCCCTTAGTAGTACTTTTTTTTACAATTCACTGATGCCAAATTATGATTGATTTTTTCAAATTCTTCAATGTGTAACACTATGTACATTAGTTTTTTATACAGTAAGGCCCTGCACTACAGCGCTTCATTTTACGGCGGTTCACTAATACGGACATTTCAAATTACAACCAAAAATTCAATCATACAGCTCCCTGATTCACTATACAGTCTCTCCTCACTTAACGACATGTTCATTTACCAACGACTCAGACTTACGAAAGCCTCTCTGACCAGTATGCATACCTAAATAATGTACATGTATATAAGAGCTGATTTCTTCTATTCTGTTTATTATAATATACAGTACACTATTGTATAAATGGTGCAAAAGTGACATTAAAATAATATCAAAGATGGTCGACACATACCCACTACCATTATAGTATGCTCCTCACTTAGCGACGAATTCTTTTACTGACATGGTCTTAGAAACGGAACTCCGTCGTTAAGTGAGGAGAGTCTGTAATGGCATCCATGCGCCAATCTGTTTGTTTACATCCTCCATGAGCTCCGCATCTATCGATTATGTCTGGAAACTTTCCAAAATTTCAAGTGTTTCAAAGTTATTGCGTATTTTTTATATAAACTGATAACTGTACTTATGTGTACCTGTCCCTAAATAAACTTATACACTGTGCTGGCATGCAGTAATGCATTAAAATCACTAAGAGTGTCTCACTAGTGTTGGAGACTTGTCAGCGGATGGGTTTATGAAGGACGAAGTTAACCACAGAATTTATGAAGGAAAAAAGGTGAGTTGTGCATTGAGGTATCTGCGATGACAAAACACACTAACCATGGAGGTGGAGAAGGAAATGTATGAGAGTATAATAGTACCAACACTCCTATATGGGTGTGAAGCATGGGTTGTAAATGCTGCAGCAAGGAGGAGGCTGGAGGCAGTGGAGATTTCACTTCTAAGAGCAATTTGTGGTAAATATTATGCAGAGAATTCATAGTGTGGAAATTAGAGGGTGTGGAGTTACTAAAAGTATTAGTCAGGGCTGAAGAGGGGTTGTTGGGGTGGTTTGGTCATTTAGAGAGGACAGAGCAAAACAGGATGACTTGGAGGGTGTACAAATCTGTACACATACAGCAGTAGCCCAGAACCTAACCTGTTGTATAAGCAGGGCCCTCTTGTACAGCAGTAGCCCAGAACCTAACCTGCTGTATAAGTGGGGCCCTCTTGTACAGCAGCAGCCCAGAACCTAACCTGCTGTATATGCAGGGCCCTCCTGTACAGCAGCAGCCCAGAACCTAACCTGCTGTATAAGTAGGGCCATCTTGTACAGCAGTAGCCCAGAACCTAACCTGCTGTATAAGTGGGGCCCTCCTGTATTGGAGGGGAGGAGGGAAAGGGGTCATCCATGGAAAGGATGAAGGGAGGGGGTAAAAGAGGTTTTGTGTGCAAGGGGTTTGGACATGCAGTAGGTATATGTGAGCGTTAGATAAGCACGAATGGAGACAAATGGTTTTTGGGACCTGATGAGCTGTTGGAGTGTGAGCAGGGTAATATTTTGTGAAGGGATTCAGGGAAACCAGTTTGCCAGACTTGAGTCCTGGAGGTGGGAAGTACAATGCCTGCACTTTAAAGGAGGGGTTTGGGATATTGGCTGTTTGGAGTGACATCTAAACTGTCGTATCTGAGCACCTCTGCAAACATGATGGTGAAAGTGTTGAATGTTTGTGAAAGCGTTTATTTCTTTTTTGAGTAACCCTGCCTTGGCAGGAAACAGCCGACGTGTTGAAGAAATAATAATAATAATAATACCTAGGTAGTAATTTGGTAGATGGAAACCGCCCAGGGAGGTACTACCGTCCTGCCAAGTGAATGTAAAATGAAAGCCTGTAATTGTTTTACATGATGGTAGGATTGCTGGTGTTTTTTCTGTCTCATAAACATGCAAGATTTCAGGTACAGTACGTCTTGCTACTTCTACTTACTAAGTTAGGTCACACTACACATACATGTACAAGCATATATATACACACATCCCTCTGGGTTTTCTGCTATTTTCTTTCTAATTCTTGTTCTTGTTTATTTCCTTTTATCTCCATGGGGAAGTGGAACAGAATTCTTCCTCCATAAGCCATGCGTGTTGTAAGAGGCGACTAAAATGCCGGGAGCAAGGGACTAGTAACCCCTTCTCCTGTATATATTACTAAATGTAAAAGGAGAAACTTTCGTTTTTCCTTTTGGGCCACCCCGCCTCGGTGGGATACGGCCAGTGTGTTGAAAGAAAGAATAATAATAATAATAATAATAATAATAATAATAATAATAATAATAGCTCTGGGAAACTTTAAATAATACTAATAATAAATAATAATAATAAGTTTATTTCTTTGTAAAGGTTAATTACAATTTTGATTTAAGTACAACGATAGCCACTATCATGCCGAGGCATTTCGGGCAAACTAATCCTAATACACAGTAACTAATTAAAGCTAGATAAGAGAATAGGACATAGTAATTATACTTAAAACTAAACATGGAATAGTGGTTAGCTGTTTTACAATCTTATTTGTACTTAATAAATTTTATGTATACTTAATACAAAATCTAATTTACAAGGGATAGTGCAGGTGGTAATATTTTATGGAATGGCAGAATTAACCCTTTCAGGGTCCAAGGCCAAAATCTGAAGTGGTGCCCCAGTGTCCAAGAATTTTCAAAAAAAAAAATTTTTATTTTTTCTTATGAAATGGTAGAGAATCTTTTTGTGAATGTAATAAAACAAAAAGTATGAAATTTGATGGAAAATTGACGAAATTATGCTCTCGTGAATTTTGGTTTGTCAGCGATATTTACGAATCGGCGACTTTGCCGACTTTGACTCCCATTTTAGGCCAATTACATTATTCCAATCAACCAAATTCTTAGCTATTTCACTAGTATTACTTCTATTCTATCGATTGAGCACAAGAAATTGCCAAGTCAACTGTTTCAGCTACAAAATAAAGTGACCGGAAATTGGTAATTTGGCCAATTTAACACAAAGTTCAAAATATTCCAATTTCAAAATAGGGTCGAGAATAAACAATGTAGGTATTCCTGGCACTAAACTAACATATCCTCTGTTCATTAGTTATGTTTTGAGGCTTTACAAATAAATTCCATTTTGATTTTTTATTCACATAATGAATTTTTATTCACACCAAAAAATAGAAGATTTACTGTTATGCAATATTGTAATAATTGTATAAATATCATCACCACATTTGTGAATGTATATTAGACCCACCAGTTGGCATGTATTAGACGTGTGAGGTCGTTTGTTTACTCTTGAACATCAGCAAAAATTTAACATTTCCACCACTTTGAGCTCAGTTTCAAGCCATTTCCAGTGCTAAAACCAATCAAAATTATCTCTATTTCTGTAATATGTCTTCCATTCTATCAAATGAGACCAAGAAATCACAAATACAACAATAAAAAACATACAAAAAAACACTGCAAAGTCGCTGTTTTAATCGAAAATCACGGTCTCAGTTTTTTTTCTCTCATTATACACAGTGTGCTGCAGGATTTGTTTTATGTGGTGCACACATACCACATAGATGTATTCTCTCATATCTAGGCCCAAATTTACCACTCACAGTTTATCAGAGTGAGCTGAGCTCATGACGTAGATCTACGGTTTGGACCCTGAACGTAAAGCCGTAGATCTACGGGACGGACCCTGAAAGGGTTAAAAGCCAGGTGGTCACATGATAAAACTAGTCAGTAGATGTTTGGTTGATTTGGTTAATATTGTGAGATAAGATGATTTTTTAGCAGAGTCCTAAATTAATAAGTTGTCTAGGGATCCTTGACCTGTTCTGGTAGCGAGTTCCAGATCTTTGAGCCTTTTATGTTTACCTGGAGTTTACCTGGAGAGAGTTCTGGGGGTCAACGCCCCCGCGGCCCGGTCTGTGACCAGGCCTCCTGGTGGATCAGAGCCTGATCAACCAGACTGTTGCTGCTGGCTGCACACAAACCAACGTACGAGCCACAGCCCGGCTGATCAGGAACTGACTTTAGGTGCTTGTCCAGTGCCAGCTTGAAGACTGCCAGGGGTCTGTTGGTAATCCCCCTTATGTGTGCTGGGAGGCAGTTGAACAGTCTCGGGCCCCTGACACCTATTGTATGGTCTCTTAACGTGCTAGTGACACCCCTGCTTTTCATTGGGGGGATGGTGCATCGTCTGCCAAGTCTTTTGCTTTCGTAGTGAGTGATTTTCGTGTGCAAGTTCGGTACTAGTCCCTCTAGGATTTTCCAGGTGTATATAATCATGTATCTCTCCCTCCTGCGTTCCAGGGAATACAGGTTTAGGAACCTCAAGCGCTCCCAGTAATTGAGGTGT